ATCCTTGCCAGGACCAACCCTGCCATGGTGCAGACAAAGCAGCAGAGGTTCATGCATCTGCCTGCCAAGGCTTGTACTTCAGGCAGGGGGATCCCCTGTTTTTAGATCTAGGACTCTGAGGTTTGGTCCCTAATCTTATAACTGGAAGGACCTCAAGGTCCTCTAGTCCAACCCTTTGCACGGAGGTAGTTCTTACCCTACCTAAGTCGTCTCTAACAGGTGCCATCCAGACTCTTCTTACACCCCTCCCGGGAAGGAGATGCTATAACTACCCTAGCATACCACCCATGGCGTTTCGGAGGTGAACTGAGGAAGCCATTTTGGTGTTTCTGAAACTAAACATTTTTTGTGGGGAATTTTAACCTGTCAGTTCTTCCCGCTGGGCCGAGATGAAAGGAAATCCCATATTCTCTTGTAGAACAGAAATCTCCAGTTTTGGCCAGCTCTGCCCTGCAGAGATCTCTGTATAGTGCTGGGGGGATTACTCAAGGAGTTTAGGTGCTACTCCTTGTGAGTCAGGGAGGTTAAAGAGAGGAAGAAGCTGTTGGGTGCTGGCCTGACCACAAAAGATATGGGCTGGACTATGTCTTGGCAAGGGACAGAGAACATGGAAGCATCTTCCTTATACCTCTCAGCAGGTAACCTGGCCATTAGCTTGCAGGATAAGCAACCGCTGCGTATCTGTTTACATATGTGCTCGGACAGGTGGAGAGGAAGGGAGGCCATGAAGCCTTGGCTTTACTTCCCTACTCTCTGGGTGTGTCTACACATGCTAATTTAAGGCACATTAGCCATTTTTAAGGCACATTAAGGGTGTGGGTCTACATGTGCGTGCCTTTAAAGTGCCTTAAAAATGGCAATTTTAAGCTATTCATGCCTAAATTTGATACCTGCTTTGGCATGTATCAAATTTAGGCACAAATAGCTAAAACACCTTAATGCATGTGTAGACGTGCTAAGGCACATTAACACGATGTATGTCAACTGACTTGAGACTAACTTTAGTCCCAAGCTGGTCTGCACACCGCGTTAATGCACCTTAGCACGTGCACATGTAGATGCACACTTAAATCGCCTTAATGCGCATTAGGCACATGCACATTAAGTTTAGGTGTGTGTAAAAGCACGTGTAGACGCCCTCTGTGTGGTGCAGCTCTCCCTCGTTCATGGCTGTACCTATTGGTATGGTGGGGTAGTATAGATGCGGGCCCCCTTTTGCCCCTCCTGTTCATGCTGAGCCCCTGTGCAGCCTAGCGGAGGAGATTCAAGAGGCCAAAAGGAGATCAAGGAAATGGAAGCATGACTCTGTAGCCTAGTGGTTATAGTACTCCGGCCAGGGGAGGAGGGAAGACTATTGTGCTCTGGCCCTTGATTCTAGTGCCGTTTTTCTTTTGTCACCATTGCCTCCCCCATTAAAGACTCATTGGTGGTGTCTGACGAATGCATGTCCCCAAGCAGTGTGCTTGGTGCTTGGAGCTGTGCTAATTAAAGTGCCCAGGGTATCATGTGTATTAGTGCTCCCGTGCTGAACAATGGCAGTGGGGGTACTTTAACTAAAGCTCGTTGAACGAGTTTTAGTTAAAGCGCCCCCGCCACCATTTTCCAGTGCGGAGATGCTGATACACGTGACACTGGAGACTGCTGGAGTGCAGTAATTACCATGCTCCAGCAGACTCGATTCATTGAGCCTGCTCCAATGGGCTGTAATTACAGTGCATTGGAGCAGCCTCCCTGCATGTGTATAGGAGCCTTAAGTGCCCTGGGCCCATGCCCTTAATGGCTGCATTCCCTTGACATTTCAACCCACAATTTCATCTTCCTCTCTCTTCCTCGACACACTGGTGTAGGAGGAGGCTGCCCTGGCATGAGCGGCCTTCCAGACAGTGGTCATGGGCAGGTGTCTCATGAGAAGGGCTGGAAATCCCCATGGCTTGAGATGTTTGAAGCCAGGCCAGACAGAGTTTTTGCAAGGGGGCAGAGCAGGGTGAGAGCAAATCTGCTCCAAAAGGCCTGCACATGTAGATGCCTGCCCAGGGCAAGTTTACTCTGCAGTAAATTACTGTGGAGTAAACCCATCCAGCAACATTTGCACGTATAGACGTGCCCCCTGAGAGTTGTGTGAAAATGTTGCATTTGCATTCATCCATAGTGGGAAAGAATCTGCTCTTACCGTATTTCTCAGGTGTAATGCACACTGCAATTTCCAGTAGTTGGTTTTTGGGGGAAAGGGTATATTGTTTGCAAGAAAAGATGGTAAATCCTCTATTTGGAAGGCAGGGAAAGATTCAACTGAGATCGTATAGAAATAATACACCCTTCTTCTTGGTGGGACACAGGTGCCTATCAGAGCGGTGTTCGGCATCCTTCTGGTGTGTGGTGTGGGGAGCAGTGTGTGTACTGTGCTACTGTACGGGACTGATGGGAGGTGGAGTCAGCCATCAGACCTAGTGGCTGTGTGTTGATGAGGCATACCTTAGCCGGTCCCTGCTTGGTAAGACTTCATGTGCATTCACTACCTGAGCTGGTTTGAATTAATTTGTGTTTTCTTTGTAAGAATTATTTCATAGGAGACACTGTTAGATGCTAAGAAGACTATTCTCCATGTCGTCAAACCCCCCAACACCTTTTGCCCAACACAGAAATCCCAGCTTCGGATCAGGGTCTTGCTTCAAGTGATTATCCTACTTAATTAAGCCTGTCTGTTGACATTTACCACCAGTGAGCAATTCCTACTCTGTCTCCCAAGGTGCTGACAGGGCCAGGGTGAGAAAGGACAGCCCTTGGGCAAAATCATGGAAAACAAAGTTGCATGGCCAGGTGGGCTGTATTGGCTACAGGACCACAATGGGGAAGGCAATGGGGATGAGCGGCAGTGCACAATGCAGGAGGGGATTATGGAGCACAAAGGAATGAACCACACTACGGACCCTTCTATTAGCTTGCGGGAAGCCCAGTTTGCAGGATGTTTTGCTTGTAGTGCAAAAGAGAAAGCAGTGGCCACAACGAGTACAAAGTGGAGTCCGTGCCGGGACTGCTGGACTCACGTAGACCCCATGGTTCTCTTTGGCCCCTGGCACTGGCGACGCGTAGCGGGTGCACGCGGGTGCACATGCACCTCCTGAGAACGGCAGTGCACCCCCTGCAAAAAGCAGCACCAACGCTGCCGGAGGTGCCTGCGGGCAGTCACCGCTTGCCACCCCAGCTCCCCCGGCGTCTGCAGGTGGTCCCTGATTGCCGCTGGCCCCTTCCGGTCTGTGGGTGGTCGCCGACCACTGGTCAGCACTTGCCACCCCGCAATGCAACATTGCTGCGGCTGCCTGTGGGAGCTCCTCGCTCACTGCTCGCCGACACCGCTGCTGCCAGCTGTGGGTGGTCTCCGTGCCCCCCAGCCTCTGGGGGCCCATGGCATTCATAGCTCCTGCATAGTTTAACGTGGAACCAGTTTGTTAGCAAAGAATCATCGAATCAAAGAGAAGTCAGGCTGGGGAGGGACCTCCAGAGGTCATCTAGTCCGAGGCAGGATCACCCCATCCAAACCATCCTATACAAGTCCATCTTTGGAAGACAGCCATCAACTGTGACACAACACAAGCGTGTAGGATACCGGCCTCTTCTGAGCGAGGGAAGGGCTTACCCCCATCCAGGTCTCCATGTGGCTTTCAGCTTGCTATTAGAACCATAAAATCATGGAAAATGAGGGCTGAAGGGACCTTAGGAGGTCACATCTAGTCCAACCCTCTGCTCAAAGCAGGACCAGCCCCAAATACATCATCCTAGCCGAGGCTTTGTCTGCCCAGGGCTTCAAAACTTCCAAGGAAAGTTTCCGTGCCCTCTTTGGAGAGCCTGTTCTAGTGTTTCACCACCCACCTAGTGAGATAATTTTTCCTAATATCCAACCTCAACTTCCCTTGCTGCAGCTTGCACCCATTGCTCCTTCTGTCACCTGCCCTCGCTGAGAACAGCCCAGCTCCATCCTCTTTGCAGCCCCCCTGCAGGGAGGTGAAAGCTGCTATTCAGTCCCCCTCGGTCTTCTCTTCCCCAGACTCAATCAGCCCAGGTCCCTCAGCCTCTCCTAACATGTCCTGTCCCCCAGCCCCACAACCATTTTCGTTGTCTTCTCCAATGTGTCCACATCCTTTCTGTAGTGGGAGGCTCACAACTGGACACAGGACTCCAGATGTGGCCCCCCCAGTGCTGAATAGAGGGGAAGAAACACTTTCCTAGATCTGCTGGCACCGATCCTCCCAATGCAGCCCAGGATGCTATTAGCTGTCTTAGCAACAAGACTGTTATACAAAACCAGAAGTGTCCTCTCTGAGCAGGGACCTCAAGAGGATGGGTGCTCCTTCCATCAGGGCTGAGTAGGAAGGACTGCTAGGAGGGGGATTTACAATCTGAGATTTGGCAGGAACCTTCAAGGGTCATCTGGTCCAACCCCCATGCCGGTGATCCTCTACCAGGGTATGCCGGGGTGCCTTGAGAGCCTGTCCAGGGGTGCCACACACCTGTGAGGTGTGCAAAGATGATTCCCAGGATAAACCCATAGGTTCAAACTAGGAATCGGTAGTGTTTAAAGCAGCCTGGCCTGCTGTCATCTGTCTGAGTTCTTCATGGCAGAAGAATTGCTCTGATATTATTTTCTGTAGTCAAAAACCAAATGAAAATTAAGAGCTGGCATTTTCCAAGAGGGGCCTTGAGTCTATGAAGGACGAGAACCACTGCCCTGCATGAATACTATTGTCTGCCCAATATAGCCGGGCACAGTGACTCTATAACTTCCTGGCTTTCCCCAGCTCTGCCCAGACCCCAGTTTAATCTGATCACTGCCTGAAGGTCACTCTGGCTTCCGGCTCCTCCTCCCCGTGCACTGCCTGAGTCTCTGGCTTTTGTTATTCCTATTTATAGTGCAATGAGAGGATCAGGGGAATAAGCGGTTAGCTTCCCCTGAGACCCACCCTGCCTCCCACATCCCGGGGGTACGTTTCTACCTCTCCTTATTCCTATGAAGTCGTCCCATCTGTGAAGGGCACGGGTGTCCCTGCAGCCCAAGCACCTGGCTGTTTGCAGGTAAATTTGCATTCGTGCTTATTTGAATCCTCATGAGGGTTCACACAGGTGGGAAATGGACTTTGCTTCTTCCCAACTCCTGCAGGGGCTGGACAGCTTGGAGACCTCTGCAGAAATGAGTGCATGTGGGGATGGGGTAAGAAGAGCCGGCCTTCCTTGAATTGCCCTGGATACCCATGGGAGGGCACTGGGGAGACAAAACCCCAGCTGGAGGGGCAGCATTTAGGAGGGTTAAAACCCTGTGTCTGTTTGAGAAAGGAGAGATCCTTAAAACGAAGCCCAGGGCAGTGCAAGGTGTTACTCACTGCAAAGCTGATGCTCTCTTTCTCCGGCCGGGAGACTTTATCTTTGTTCTTCCTTGGCTTTGCTGCTTGAATCTGCACACAACGTGCTCCAGAATATAGCCCGCACCTCGATTTTGAAAGGCATAATGAATTGAAGATCTTTCCTTATACTAAGCAACCGAGTGATAAAGGAGGGGGTCCAGGGATTGCTCCGAGGGCGGTGGGGGGGGGGATCAGCCAAAGGGCCAAGCCAGACTCAGGGTCCATGGGCAAGCTGGGTTGGGTGTCCAGAGACTCCATCAGAGCCAAGACAAGGATGCAGCAGCCTACATACAAGGTTAAACCGTGTTGCGCAGACACTTCCTCTCCAGGTCAGGGGTGTGTGGTCTCCTGGAAGGGGTGAAGGGTCAGCTGACCCTGGCTCCAGTGGCAGGGAGTGAGTGGGTGGCCAGGTCCAGATGGTGGGCTCTGGCTGCCTGCATCTGCCCCAATTCTTTGCTGAGGAGGTAGCAGATCAGGATGGGCAGCAACGCCAAGGCCCCAGGTTCAAGGCCATGGCCTGGCAGGACTTCAACTTCCTCCTTGGCAAGAGGTGGAGTGTTGCAAAAGGGGAAATAGCTGCAAAGTGTTTGGGGAACCGTGGGTGGAAGGTGCTGGGGAAGTGCAGAGGGTTGCAACTGCCCATTTGGCCTATGTCCGAGGGTAGGACCACCCACATGTAAGGCTGTGATCACTGTTGGGAGTAAAGGGTTCCCAACCTGGCCCACAGTGCACGAGCTAGGCAGAGGTCCCAGACTATACAGCCTGCAGTTTCATTGCTAATTAGACTACTGCTAAGGCCATGTTATATAAGCCTATTTGGGTGTAGGTGCGGCTCCTGAGATTCACGCCAGGTGCACAGATGCCCATGAAATCTAATGGTGCCTGGCTTGACTTAAAGCGAGGGCCAAATTTTACTGTGCACCTGAAGCCCCTGCCACACGTTATACATATTATGCAATGAAATAACTAATCGTGCCATAAATTTAGACTGGCCACATGTGCAAAGTAATTATCACACCATGAAAATGGCTGTCCAGCTATAAAAAGAGCCAACCAGCCACACAGTTAATGGTTGAAAATGTGTAACAACTTTAAAGCTGGTTTCTATTCAGTTTTCCTTTGAACATGTTGGAGGTCTCTCATGGACCTTAGGCACCTAACTGTGACCCTATTCCACCCTGTTCAAGTCCTGAAAACCCATGAATACAGGGAGTTGTGTAATAGGCCATCTTCTGTCCCTTCAGATCAGGCAGCGAGGAGGAATAAGACCCACCCACCTTTGGCATTAACCATTTTTCATGGATTTAAGCAGGGCGAAAGAGAATCACATGCAGGCACCTAAGTTGACTTATGCAGCTAGTAGGTGGGACATGGCTGCCCTTTGTTACGGCATTTATCTTTCATTGAGAATAGAAGCAAGCCAACATCTTCATGGCTCGCCCGGCTGGGGAAATCCTCCCCTCCACCTCACCTCACTGGTGGCTATATTGATGCACCGGTGCATAGGAATCAGCTGGGATGTAGGAGGGGACTTGGGTGGCATGTGGTTTGTTTCTGGAGAAAGCGGGAGCTGAAAGAGGCAACTAATGCAAACAAGAAGGGTTGGGGTTAGCTGGATCCAAGGACGACAGGCTGAAGTAGCTCAGCCTGCCTTGTTCTTGGTAACTCCACTATGGTATTCATACCTGTAGCAATTCCCAGTGAGCTGCTACTAGGCAAGTAGGGGAAGATGCCAGCTCTGCTCGGCACAGCTTCAGTACAGAGATGAAACACCTTGATTTGATATTGTGTTTTCAGGTTAAAGGAAGAACCGGTGGCCATCTCCTGGGAGAACTGACCCTCACCAATGACTGACAGTAGCTGTGGATAGAGATACCCTGTCGGCGTGTGCCCACACCTACATGGCTGTGCAGAGCATTGAGTAGCCGCTATTCATGGTACTGGTCGAGAAAGGTGTCGAGAGCTTGGCCGGTTGGTTTTTAAAGCTATGTATCGACTGGGCTAAGTAAAGAAGCAGAAAATTACCTTGGACGGAAGAACAGCAGACAGGGGAACCAGGTCTGAACGACACCCAGGAGCGGGCTGGGAGGAGCATCATTGCTGGGAGCTGGTTGAAGCCCTGTTGGGGTAGCGAAGAGAGGCAATGTTGTATGGGTTCATGCCGGCCCCTCGTCCTCGATCCCCTACTTGGCTCATACTCTGTGCACCCCACTGATGTCAACCTGCTATCCTTTCAGCTATGCTTGAGCAGTAGCAAGGCTGTCTGCCTTGTAGCCCTTACTCCATTGGGTTTTACTCCTGCCTCAAGTAGCCACTGTGGTACTGGACAGGGTCTGAATGACTGACAATGTGCTACCCAGGGTGCTCCCTCTCAGCATCCTTCACAGGCCTCATGAAGCTCAGTCTCTGCTTCCTCTCTACCAAGATGGCCTTGAAGTCTCTCATCTTCATGGCTGTCCTGAACGGCCATTCCCTGCAGAAGTCCCTGGCTGCTGGTGAGAGCTACCATAAGGATGACGATGGGCACCCAGTCAACACTGGCCTGATCCAGTGTGGGGAGTACACCAACCAGATCTTACCCAACGGCAAGTGCAAGATTGTGGCTACCTTGCCCCAGGTGGACGAGCAGAGGTGCCCGGACATGTTCCGCTGCACGGACGAGATCTCGTACTGGCTCCACGAGAATGAGGAGCGCAAGCAGCAGATCCTGGAGCTGCGGGAGCTGATCTCAGAGCTGCAGGAGGAACTGAGGAACCATCGGCATCGCATCAAAGTCTTGGAGCTGCAGGTAAAGCCCGGCAGCATTTCTCTTCTCTCTCAGGCACTTGAAATGCATTAGAGACGCATGCGTTTATGGGCATTGGCAGATACACACAGAATTATTTCCGTAGAATGAGAGCAGTGGGGCTGGAAGGGACTTCGGAGGGCGGGGAGGGGCAGCTCTGTC